TCTCTCTCCCTCCCTCTCTCTCTCTCTCTTATTTGTTTGTTATTTCCCTCTATCCATAAGTTGTTGTGGTGATCCAGTCGGTGCCAGGTGTTTCTGTCTAATGAAAGCTGACGTCCGCGTGATCTCAGCTGCTCGTTTCTTTTGCCTTGTTTGGTCTGGTTGGTCTTGTTCCAGCTGCCAGAATTTCTTTTCTTTTCTTTTTTAAATCTCGGATGTTTTGCTCTATGTTGTGGGCAATTTTCTATAGTACATCCGAATATGTGCGTGTGTGCCGAAAGAAAGGTACCAAATGTCGACACAGACTTGTATTATGTAATACAATCCCCTCCTTCTTTTCTCTGTATGTTACTCTCTAGTAACGCCTCTAATCTTTTGCACTTGTTTAACCTATTTGTGTCGCAACGCTATAGTACGTTTTGAGTTTTGGAAGAATTCAGTTTGGTGGTTGGTTAATGATTGTGTGTTGGATTTTTAAATATTTTTTTTAATACTTAGCTGGGGATTCTATCTAAGCAGTGGAAGTTTTCGAAAGTTCTTTGTGTGTACTCTAATGTGTGTGCTTTTGAAGTTCTTGTATATATATTCTAGAGTGTGGGTGTGTTTTGCTTTATTATAACACGATTTTGTTTTTCACTGCGTGATAGTAGCATGCTGTGTGGTGCGTGAATAGTTTTTCTTTTGGGGGAAAAGTCTCTCTATGTCTTTGTGTCTTCGGTTGGCCTCACGTTCAATCAATGTATATTATATATAGATGTGGTTGGTGTGCCGTGGTTCACTCTCAGCTTTTGGTTCATACTTTTTCTCCACGAGCGGTGCTGAAGTTTTACGAGACGGGATAAGAGTTGTATCGGGAAAACATCCTTCAGAGGTCATAGTTAAATTACAAGACGAGCAGATAGAGTATGGAAAACAACCTTCAGAGGTCATAATGTTAATGGTATGACGAGCATTCACTGGTGAAATAGAAGCCTTGTTGCATAGTTGCTCACAAAGTTAACTAACAACACTCTGGGATCAAAGACTCTGTGTGTGGGTGGTTGGCGAGTGCTCTGGTGTGGTTTGCTTCTTCTCTCTTGATCCTATCAAACATCTATCGTCTTTATCTCCCTTACTTCTTTGTTGTGTGTGTTACTCTCTTGTAACACGACCGCTAATCTTCGGCACTTATACGACCTTATTGTGTTGCAAGTGCCGTAACGAAAACTAAAACTTGACTAACACTCTGGGATCAAAGACTACTGTGTAGGCCTATTTATTCTCTCTCGTTTATCCAGGGAGAATTCTCCTCAGCTGAGCCTTACAATGAAATGTCTCCTGTCTGTTGACTATTTCTGATACTGCCTTTTCTGTGTCTTGTAGTAGGTCATTTAACTTCCAAAAAGGCGAGAGAGAAAAGGAATTGTTAACTCTCACTTCAGAATTCAGGCGTGTTTTATACAAACGGGAGTTAGGGTGAGGGGAGGTAGATAGACTCTAACATTCCTTTCAAGGACTATGCCCATGGGTTCATTTACTGTTGGATTTAGGTCTAATTGATCATAAAGTTAATCAACAGCTTATTAATGTACTGTTCTGTCGAGAGTATCGGACATTTCAGACTTTGTAACTGTGTTATAGTCGTAACACATCATTACGTTGTCGAGATAGAATTTTTAAGTATTCTTGAAAAGAGAAATTATAAGTTTTTAGGTCAGGAGATAAATCTGTAACAGCAGAACTTCAATGGGTTTTTTTTAAATGGGAAGACAGTGTCCTTCACAACAAGTTCAGAGCCCAGTGGAGAGAAGTTAGTTTGAGAACGGTCTTCTTATTGGACGGGGCGTACTGAGCTCAGTTGGTATCCTGCAGGACTTTGGAGCGGATGGCCCTTGTTCGAATCTCAGGATGGATGTTGTTGAACTCGGGTCGTTTTGTGGAGTTTTGAAAGCTGCTCCATCCATTTGGCTTGGTCCTGTCTGAGACGGACATTAAATTCGGAAGTCTCGCCTCTTCTAATAATAGTGTTGATATGGGCGTCGAACCCTTACACTTACTCACTCACTTTTATTGGACTTCCTAAAGATGGACAGACACCAACCCCCAACCACCATTAAGATGGTGAAGTGTTCAAAGTGGTGGAGTCAAAGAGTGTTGTTTGTTTTGTTTTTTGCTCCGCACAGAGAAAGTACCCTGCAGGTTCCGCGATATTTTTACTTCAAACCTCTTTGGGGAGCAATGTTTGCACGTTTCTTTCGCAATAGGGAAGAACTCACATCTGCTGCACTTTGGTACAGCTCTTTGATGTGACGTCCAAAAGAAGTTCTGGGAAACTCGGAGACGAGGCCATTTGAGCCCAGCTAGAATGTATCCCCCCCCCCCCCCCACACACACACACACACACACACACACACACACACACACACACACACACACACACACACACACACACCCCCACACACACACACACACACCACAGTGCTGATGGTTGTATGTTGACATCGGGGTTGTCACTTTGAAGTGCACGCTAGTACGCAGATATTGATTTGTCACAGAGAGAGAGAGTCAGAGACCCAGACATGGCCACCCTGACATTTACCATCTGTCATTGTAGTAATGGAAGGCTCTCGGATGATATGCAATGACTGGGAAGATTGATCTGATCCAGGTATTAAAAGTAAAGGGCGAGAAGCAAAGGGGAAAAAATAGTGCAAATATTATGTGTGTGTCGAATATGGATGGAATAGACATTCCTTTTGCGAAAGGGTGAGAGAATCTGATTCTAAATTATAAAAGAGAGGGAAAAAAAAGGTAGTTGCCCTATGGTTGGTAAAGTGCAAACAATATGACGGTGTAGTATTTCGAGAATTTCAATATTTGAATTGCAAATTGTTCACACAATTTCGTTTGCCTGTCGCCCGTGGCTGTAAACTCAAGGTTGAAAGCTTAATATTGTGAAGCGTAAAAATAGCGCTCTACGTATGCAAACTAGACGGGTTCATTTGTACTTCCTTAGACTTTTTGAGTTGCAACGCACTTTATAAATTTACTTGAGAAACTGTGATCTTGTTCAAAACTATATATGGCTTACTTTGAGGAAAATCATGAAAAAATGTTAGAAATAATATTATGCAAAAGTTATACCTACCTGAACATGAAAGTAACAGTTATCATGAAATAATGCCAATGTTAATTGGGGGTTTTATTACGGTCTCTAACCAGTTCTGTGACTTCAGCTGACACAGTTAAGGGAGGTTTTTTTTCACCATTATTCAAGATGTGAAACAAAAGTTGGGAGGTGAACTCAGAAATGTTGTTTATGTGTTTTCAGCATACATTTTACGTTCCATAAATTTACGTTGCAGTCTTTTTGTCTGTATGAATATGTCTGATATTGTTATAAAAGACTGAGAATTCCAAAGCACTGACCAACCAGGTTTATTTAATGCTCAAGCAATCTCATAAAGGAAAGTTTGATTTTCAAATATAGAATTATGTGCTTTTTCTTGTCATTGTATAGGAACCGGATGGGTTTTGAAGAAGGATAATTCAAAATGAAGAATGCTGTGAGGTTCATGAAACCTATCTTCTGCTCCTTAGTTTAGTAGTTTAGTGCAGTTTTGGGTGGAGTTGAGGGGAGGGGGATTTCTGGTATAGTATAAGAAAAAGATTGGGGTGGGGGG